ATCACTTCATGGCAAATAGATGGCAAAACAATGGAAACAGTGACAGACTCTATTTTTTTGGGCTCCCAAATCACTGCAGATGGTAACTGCAGCCATGAAATTAAAAGATGCTTGCTCTTCGGAAGAAAAGCTATGACTAACCTAGACAGTATATTAAAAAGCAGAGACATTACTTTGCCAACAAAGGTCTGTCTAGTCAAAACTATGGTTTTTCCAGTAGTCATGAATGGATGTGAGAGTTGGACTATAAAGAAAGCTGAGCCCCGAAGAATTGATGCTTTTGAACTGTGGTGTTGTAGAAGACTCTTAAGAGTCTCCTGGACTGAAAGGAGACCAGTCAATCCTAAAGGAAATCATACTGAATATTCATTGGAAGGACTGATGCTGAAGCTGAAACTCCAATACTTTGGCCACCTGCTACGAAGAACTGACTTATTGGAAAAGACCCTGATGCCAGGAAAGATTGAGGGCAGGAGGAGAACAGGATGACAGAGGATGAGATGGTTGGATGGCATCACCAACTCAATGGACATGAGTTTGACTAGGTTCTGGGAGTTGGTGATGGACAGGGAAGCCTGGCGTGCTGCAGTCCATGAGGTCGCAAAGAGTCAGACAGGACTGATCGACTGACCTGAACTGAACACTTAGATTTCATGTCATACATATGGAATCCACTAAACAGCCATTAATTCCCTAAAATATACCAACCACTTTTTTTCCAATTTATTTAGCATTCCTTTAATGCCAGGCATTGTGGTGGGTGATGAGGGTGTAACAATGACTATGAAGATACTGTCCACATTATAACAGATTATGAAATAGATATAACTACTTCCAGTTTACATTTGAGGAACCTGAAGATCCCTAGATTCAGTATTTTCGCTAAGATTTTATCGAGCTTGAGGAAACTATAATTTAGATCTTACTTCAGTGCTCACATTTTCTACTATTTTGTACTACACTCTACTATCAACAGTTCACTTTTCAAGAAGTAGCATTAACTTGTAATCTCAGTTTTTACTTTAGATTTCCAAATGCTGGGTTTTGAGAGGAATGGCACAATACAGGGAAACAAACACATAACAAAATTATAAAACTCCTTCCATCTAGGAGCTGATTCCTTAATTGGAAGTACTTTACCAAGCAATATTATCAAAGCATTCAAAGTGAAAAGAATATTTTAATACAAACAAAAATCATAAATCCCAGAAGGAACTTTTGAGTACCTGAGTCATTTAAAAAACAAAAAACTGACATGCTTTCCAAAGCTCAGTGGCCTGCCAAAAATTAGAATGTTATACCTAAACAGTGTGTTTCCTAGACATGATTTTAATCACAAATAGAAGATTCTTCCAGTCCTACATAAAAGTCTCTAAGAGATAGAAACATTAAAATAAGATTTAAAGATCCAAAGAATCAACAACTGCACTGATTCCTCATTTTAAACAAAACAGAGGGAAAGAAAAAAATAAATAAATAATGCTCTGGCTGAGGAAGCTTACACAGAAATAACAGAACTTCAAAAATAATTTTTCCTATCCCATTGCAAACATTCTACTTTTAGTAAAACAAATAAAATTAAGTACTTTAAAAAAATTAACTTGATTCTAGAATTTCAAATTCTTTTTCTAGCTAATATGTGTTACATTTTTTAATCTAGGAAAAAAGATAAATTATACTATGTATAACGTACAAAAATGTTACAAATTAAGCATGATTTCAATGTACATAATCCTACAGAAAATTTTTATAAATAGAGCAAAATAGCCCATTATAGATTTAGTTACTATTTCTTACCAATATTCTATTTGTACCAAGATTAATCCCTAAATGTTGAAGAAGAGCTGGATATGATGACTAACCAGAAACTTAATCCTTTAGAACTTAAAAAAAATTCAAGATTAAATATGAACTTAAAATATATACGTGTTGTTATTTTTTAAAGACATGCCAATGAAGTTTTTTGGCTCTCAAAAAAAAAAAAATGTTTGTTGAGCCAGATGAAGTAAAAGCATATAGCTTACTTGAAAGGAAGAGGGGGAAAATCTGTAACAATAATTGTATATGCTTTTAGGTGTGGGTCTTTGGGGAAACAGTAAATAATACTTTGATTAAAACAAACACTTTGAATTAAATTATGTGCATGTGACAATATTTATTGAATTCCTACCATGTGCTATGCACTCTGCAAGACACTGAGTGTAAGAAAATGATCCCCACACTCTTGAAGCTTATAAGGTAATGAATATAGCCTTCACAATTATCCCTTTCTTTTGCTTGATTCCATGTTCATCAAGCAACTTTAGAAATATAAATCTACCCTCTACAAAAGCTTTATACACATAAAACAGTATATGACATTGCAGAGGTCAGCTTCCTGATCGATGTATCAACATACCCCAATTTAAATTAATAAATCATTATTCAGGTTTGTACATCACTCTTTATGAGTTTAGTTAGCTTGAGTGAATCCTCAAAGCCTAGCCTATTCTGATTAATTGGTCAGGCGTAATTTCGGAAACTTCAGCGCAGAGAATCAAATATGTGAGGGAAATACGTGTATTCAAAGATGGTTATCAGCAAATGAGTCTCTAGTTTATCCTTAAGACAACATACTTCTGTTTCATCATGCCCTTCAAGCTATTACAATTAACTCATAAGACCGTTGTAAAGAGTAACTGAGATATACCGTGTAACAGCGCTTCTCAAGCTTTATTAGTGCATGTGGCTCACCAGCAGGAATGCATAAATGCAGTCTTATTCAGTAAGTCAGGGGCAAGGACTGAGCCCCTTCCTTTCGTACAAGCTCCCAGTGATGCCAGGCTGCTGCCCACATCAGAAGGGGACACACCTGGCAAGCAGCTGGCACATGGGCTGCTCACCCCAGTCCAGCTGACTGCTCTCTCCCTTTTGTGGGTGTCTTATCTCCCTTACATAGCTCACCTTCTTCGGGAGAAAAAATATCCTCCAAAGTTCTAACCTAATCAGAATGCCTTCCATATGGTAGGCGTTAAACACATGTCAACTGAATGAAGGACACCCAGTCTGATTTTAACAGTCATCACTTCTATGGCTATGGACAGAACTGTTTCTTCTCTGAAATAGTTTATTATAAATAGGAAAGTATCTTTGAAAACTGAAAAATCAAAAAAAGCTTTCAATCTATTTTTTTAATGAAGAAAAACAAATTGTATTTGCAGCATAACCAGTGCATTTTTTCCTCAGACTGACCTAATCAAATGTTTTTTAAAAACCCATGATTAACTTAAATCCTGAAAGTCTTCCTTTTTTTTTTTGGTAAATAAGAATTTTAATAAATAAAAGTAAGTCTTTCTGGGGAAGGTCTTTTTTTTTTTTTAGCTGCACCGGGTCTCCCCTAGTTGCTGCAAGCGGGGGAGGGGGGTGCTACTTTTCATTGGGGTGCAGGAGCTTCTCATGCCCGGGCTTTTTTTATTGGAGAGCCCAGGCTCAGCAGTCGTGGCGCAGGGGCTTAGCTGCTCCCCTGGCATCTGCAATCTTTCCCCACGGGGGATGGAACCTGTGTCCCCTGCACTGGCCGGCATATTCTTAACCGCTGGACCACCAGGGAAGTCCCTCTGGGGAAAGTTCTAAAACTAATATTAAAAAAGTAATCATTTTCTTAGGACGCACCTTATACTTTTAAAACAGCACAATAAAATTGTAAGGACATCTTAGGAAGGTAACATCTATAAAATGTCTGGCTTTTCAGACTAACGTAATCATAAAATTAAAAAAAAAAAAATAGTATCATTGCCATCACTACGTAGCTCTTTGGCACAGTGCCGTGTGTTTCTCCGCCTTTTTTCTGTGACCACCATGACAAGTGACTGAATACCTCAGCGCTGGCTTCTACACTTGTAAATATTACTTACTATCATTACATCTTTGTTCCATGCTGAGAAAAATGGTATGCTGATGTGTTTCAAGCACTCAAAAAAAGAACAAAGGTGGGGTATTATTTTCATTTCTAAGATGTTTACCTCTACCGTTTCAATGGCTTTACGTTTTAGCGACGAGTTCACCAGTTACTGAAATACAGACTTATTTTTCAGTAACTAACGGAGGATGGTTAAAAAAAAAAAAAAGCATCAATCTTTTAATCAAACTGCTGAATTAAAGCAACGTAATAATCTTACAAATAAACATGGATAAGCGGGTTTTCTTTTCGCTAATCATGAAAACCTATCAACACCTCCCACCCGGCGACCGGAGGCCCAGTCCCGCCTCTGCCGCCGCGATCGCGCTGGGCCGTCTGGTGCCGCCGCAGAGACCAGGCCTGCGCACCGAGCTCTACGCGTTCCCTCTGGAGTCTGCTCTTTCATCTTTATTAAACTTTTTTGTGTTTTGTCTTGTTTTTCGCTTAAGACAAGACACCAGGCGGGTGGCGCGCGCACTTCGGGTCCTGGAGGCGCGGACGCAGCCGCGGTGACCTCGAGGCCGTCCTCCCACGTCCCCGCTACGAAGGCAAAATGGTGGCCGCAAACGCCAGCCGTCTGGGCCGGGCGGGGTTTCAGCGCAGCCGGGGAGGAGCACGGCAGACGCCCACAGCCTGATCCGTCCTCACCCAGGCCGCCCCGGGAGCCCAGAGGCTGAGAGGCTGCCGGCGTGGCGCCTGCGGCGACGAGAGCCCAAGCTCAGGCTTGGAGGCGGTGTCCTCGAGACCGTGAACAAGGACGCCATTATAGGGCTCCAGGCCGGCGCCTCGGCCGCAACCCGAGCTGGAAGCGAGGCTCGGGGCTCTGAAGGCGGGACGACGGGGGTAGGGGGGCGGGATGAAGACCGGGGAGGCGGGGCGAGGGAGGCTGGAACCGGGGAGGGGGCCTCCGCTGCAGGGCGGGCGGCGGGGCCTGGCTGGGTCAGCCTTCTCCCTGAGGGTGGGGATCCAGAGGTAGGGGGTCCCACTCTGTCCGAAGCTCCCCGGTACCAACCGCCCGGGGTCGCGGCGGGCGGCGAGGGCTGCGCTCCGCCGTGCCTCTTACCTGTGCCGTCCCTGTCTCTGTCGTCCGCCATCTTGTTGCGGCGCCGTCACCGGGGAGAGGCCTGTCGCTAAGCTAGGTCGCGGCGTCCTGACCCCCTCCAGCCCCGCGGCGAGTCGGCCCTGGAGGATGGGAGGCTCCGAATCCCGAGGAAGGAGACCCTGGGGCGGGGGTGGGGGGAAGGAACGCTCCGAGCGCGCGCCCCCCGCTCCAGCCAGAACCCTGTGGGGCTCGGAAGCCCGGATCCGCGCCCGCGACCCTTTTAGCCGCGTCGGTGTTTTCAGCCTATTCTGCTCAGTACCGAGCCCTGAACCCTGATTTTTCTAGTATAGAGGAAGTATTTAATAATGAAGTTCGGAACCCCTCCTTTCCCATGTTTCTGATCCATTTGGGGACACACTGCTCTCCTCGTCCCCTCCATAGGGACGTTAGGATGAGGCGTTGCTCGACTTTTTTTTTTTTTTTTAACTGCAGATTTTAAAACACAGCTGGAGAGCTGGTGCAGAGCTTGACTCCGGAGGGGTGACAGAAGCAACCCGCAGGGCCGCCGCCTCCCCTTCCCATCCGATCCTGCCCCACCTCCGGCCCGCGTTTTCGCCAGTCCAGGGCTCGCCGCCGGCTCCCAGAGACCGGGACTGCACGGCGGGCGAGCGCTGCAGCTGGGACGGAAAACTGGGCTGGCGGGGAGGAAACCAGAGGGCCATTAGAGTGTTAACTGGTGGAGCTGAATCGCTGTTGAAAAACATGTTGTAAAATCGGCGCAAACATTGCGTCGTCAAGGCTGCGATTTCTCATACAAAATAGAGGTTCTCCTAGCAACAAAGACGTGCCTGTATTGTGCCCACTGTTACGTACATGAAGATGTTCCTGCTTGTGAAATTCGACAAGATGTCCAGCTAAAATTACCGAGGGAAAGTTTTACATCTCGCTTTTCTGAAATTTAGAAGCTGTAACATGTTAAATGTTTGTCTGATTTTAAGGACAAATTCACTAGGATATTTTCTTTTAAAGATAGTTTTTGAATAATATGCCTAATGGTGTGGTTCGAGCGAATATACATATTTTTAAAACTAGTTTTAGATGGTTTTTTAGTCCATGTGCGTACTAAGCGGCTTCAGTAGTTTGACCGTTTGCGACCCCCATGGACCTTAGCCCTCCAGGCTCCTCTGTCTTCGAGATTCTCCAGGCAAGAATACTGGGGTGGGTTGCCATTTCCTTCTCCAGGGGATCTTCCTGCCCCAGGGATCCAACCCTGGGTCCCACGTTGAAGGCAAATCCTTTACTGTCTGAGCCAGGAGGGAAGCCCCTTTAATGCATGTGTATATTAATTTAAATGACTTAATTTTATGTAAAGACCATTTATAAACTTAACTGTAAATATTAAGAGGCCTTCAAAATATAAGGTATTTAATGATTTGATCAGCTGAGTTTTTATATGTTTATTCTGGTTCTATTATCCCTCAGTAAACCCTAAAGAAAACTAATATTCTTTATTAAAATAAGTATTTTTTCTGTAGAGATATTCCTGTGGTGCTCCAATCAGCATTCTCTTTGAAAGTGACTACAATTGAATCCTCACAAAATGGCTCAGAAGATAGATATTTATATAAAATGAATATAATCATGAACAATAATTTCTTAATGCCAAAAAGTAGAGTAATTATTAGCACAGACTTCCCTGGTGGCTCAGTGGTAAAGAATCCACCTGCCAATGCAAGAGATGTGGATGCAATCCCTGGGTTGGAAAGATCCCCTGGAGAAGGAAATGGCATCCCACTCCAGTATTCTTGCCTGGGCAATCCCTTGGACAGAGGAACCTGGTGGGCTACAGTTCAGTGGATTCACTAGAGTTAGTTGTGACTTAATGACTGAACACCAACACATGATTAGCACTCATGTATACTTAAATGTCATGATCATTATGGTCTGGTTATTTGTTTTTTCAAGACCCTCTTTTCATGTAGGTGATGAAGGCCTTTGAAATAAATGTGGGAAACCCAGCTTTAGTCTTCATGCTCACTACTCGCTTTACCTTTTCCTGTGCTGCTTTCAGTTTCCTTTTTCTGGAATGCCTTTCTCTCCTCTCTCGGCTCTAACATTCACCCTCCCACAGACACACGTTTGTCCCCTCCCTGTTGTCACTGACCTCCTTGAAGGTCATGTGCTCCCTGAAGCTTTCGGGGTCAACCCCTTCTGAGGTGTTGACCCTCACAAGGACTTCCCTGTAGCTCAAACAGTAAAGAACCTGCCTGCAGCGCAGGAGACCAGGGTTCAATCCCTGGGTTGGGAGGTTCCTCTGGAGAAGGCAATGGCAATCCACTCCAGTATTCTTGCCTGGAGAATTCTCCTGGAATTGGAGAATTCCATGGACAGAGAAGCCTGGCAGGCTACAGTCTGTGAGGTCACAAAGAGTCAGACTTGACTGAGCAACTAACACACACACACACACACACACAGACCCTCACGTTGATTTACAGTGATTCTACTTGTTTCCATGTACCAAACTGTAAGCTCTTGAGGACAGGAATTGTTTCATTCATCCATATATCTCCATTGCCTAGAACAACTTTTCAATGTTTATGTCTAAAATAATGTGCATGTCTAGGGCTTTCCTGGTGGTCCAGTGGCTGAGCGTCCACCTCCCAATGCAGGGGACGTAGATTCGATCCCTGGTCCAGGAAGATTTCACCTGACATGGGGCAAGTAGTCGTGTATGCCACAACTGTAGAGCCGGTGCTCCACAGCTAGAGAGTAGCTCCCGCTCACTGCAACTAGAGAAAACCCACATGCAACAGCAAAGAGCTAGCACAGCTGAAAATAAATAAAGGTATTTAAAATATAAAATGTGTGAACTCTATCAAACTTGAAAAAATAATGTGCATTTTAAAAATTAGGACAGAATTTAGTCTTCTCAATGACATTGATGAGAAAAGCTTTTTATTTTTTAGATTATTTCAAGCCACATTGACCTCTAATTCTCAACTCCTACAGCATACTTAAGATAACACTCTAAATTTGGATGAGTAAAAAATATTTATGTTATTAACCCCTCTGCCCAATTAGATTTGAAGATGGATCCTAATATATACATCTTTTGTATCCCTAAAGTACCTATCCCAATTTGGGACACATACTAGGAGCTTAGTATGTACTTTTCAGTTGACTAGTTAGACATAAAAGTCTGTTATTATTCTGGAAAACTTTCCACAAAATGAAAAAAAAAGGTTATCCAAGTGACAAAAGCCCACTATGCCAATGAGTGGGGCCAGAGGGATATGTATAGATTATGTCTTTTTGCGTGATTGAATTTATAGTGTGACAGATTTGTTCATACAGGCATGAGTTCTGTGCCCATGAGGGACTCGGAAAATGTTTCTTCTGAATACAATTGATTCAGTTACCTAAGATGTGGTTAAAGTGAAAGGTTAGTGGTATGAATAATGCAAAATGATAGTAAAAAAAAAATCTTTACAGCACTGTTACTCTCCTAGGATGGGGATCATTGACATCCCCTTGGACTAGGAATAATTTTTTTTAAACCAAATTTTCCTTAGCCATTGCCCTGTACTGAAATGATTCTAGGCAAGGCATGTAATCTCTTTAAAACCTAGTTAACTTAGAAAAATGGAGATAGCAACATCCAAGCTCCTCGTCTTAGAGTTTTCATGAGACTCAAATAGATGTAACTGAAAGCTTTGAATATTTTAGAGAACTTGTAAAGAATCCCCACTTTCATAAAGGAAGAAGTACTTAGGAGATCAAACCCCAACCTCTCTCCCAAGATTCAGCTTCCACTTGGAGTTTGCTTTTCCAGGTCTTCAACAGGAGGCTGACTCCACGTCTTACACAGATGACAGAGTTTCATGTTAAGTTTGTGGCCCCTTCCTCATTTCCCACCTTGGATTTTTAATTCTTATCAAGCATGAGTGGCTTTAAGGATATCTAGATTCTTTGGACTCTAGGCCCAGGACAATGAGAGGGAGGTTATTACTTCTCAGATCTAATTCCAGTTTTCTAATGGAAGATATGTCTTTCATCCTTCTCTGGATGATTAGCATCAAGAATGTCCAGCCCTTCGAGAAAGACACTGCTCCTATCCTACCCCTCTGTGATCTCAAAAGGAAACATCAGAATACGATAGAATAAGGGTACAGTTTTCTTACAGTTAAAATAATAAAAACAACTCAATACTTTGTATATATTGTCTCTTTTAATCCTTCTGAGGCTGATGGTATCTTTGTTTCACAGATGAAAGAACTACGTGTTCACATTAATGGCCTGTATAAGGTCTCACAGCTAGTTGGTAAGAGGGCTGGCAAGGAGTCTAGTTCTGATTCCAGAGCCACTGTACTTCTCTATAAATGTAAGATACCATTGTTATATTCTATTTAGTAACCTGAATATTTAGAGGAGAATGTTAAGGGCAAAAATTCTGGACAGAATTAGTCACCTTCCTCACCCTTTTTTTTTTTTTTAACTGCTTCAAAACATCAACCAAAGCAACTGGCAGAGACCCTTGGGGACTTGAAAGGAGCCAGATAATGGCATGCATGGTGTCCTTGTCTGGACCAAAAATTAAACTTAAGGCCTAGCTTTTGGGTGGCAGGAGAGGAGGTGAAACCCACTGTTCTACCACGCCCCAGTGGTCTGCTCACCTTCTTTTCTTTCCTTCCCATCTTCTGGCAGATTGAGGTTTCAGGCCTCTTGGTAATGAGGGAGAATTGTGTTAAATCCTTGGCTCTGGACAAGAGCATTTTCAGTGCCAGAGTTCCTTCAGGCTTTTCAAGGAGATCCAGGGCAGGAAGCTGGAACTGCAGGACTTGTGGGCAACTTGAAAGTAAATCTTACATGAAACCACAACTCTTAAAGCGTTTGGAAAAATAACGGTTCCTGGCGTTGCTTCTCTCAAAAGTACATGTTTCTTTCTGTTTTCCTTAAGAACGCACATTGACACAAGTTACTGTTTAATTCATTGCTTAAGCATTTCCTGTTCTAAGCAGCACTTTTCAGGGACACTCATTGCTAAGCAACTTT